ATAAAGGAATACTAATGAGGGAATTCTAGTATATTTTTAATATATAAAAGACATATTCAATAATATATTTAGATTCTACTAAGCAAGTTTGTCAATTCAAAATGATTTGAGAAGATGCACATATGATCAATAAGTCATGAAAATATTTTTTATATTAAAATGCATCTCCCCTTTTCAATTTTCTGCCTCACAGCTGATTCGAATAAGTCATACTTCGAGTGCAGCGCATTTAAATACCCTGCCGATTAATTAAATGTAGCGTAAACGCGGTTTACCAATGAGAAACTTAATTTCAGCTGGTGATTATTTGGGGGAGATACAAGCGACACGTACTTGAGATAAGAAGAGCGTACAATTGTTTGGACGTACAGAAACAGTTTCTAAACTGTATACAGTTTAGATCTTCATCTGTGTAATTGTTATAATTGCGCGCTATAAATTCTAGCTATAAAACATAGGACGTGTCAGTGATAGGGACGCCTGGACGCCATGATGGTAGGTGGAACCTGTTATCACTTGGCCGCCGATTTGCTTTCTCAACGAATTTGATACACCGCGCAGACTTTCGTTTGGAACGCTGTAAATATCCTTTATACACGGCTGTTAATTAAGTAAAATGTTTCAGGACGGCATATGCGATACTGCCGACATATTAAATAACGTTCCTCCTAAGAAGGTACTTCCATTAATCCTCTGTTTTCTCTTACAGCAGCTCGTTGAAAACCTGCGATTTTTCATTACAGACGATTCACGCTGACAATGTAGACCTCTCGGACAAGTCGTTACAGGTGGATATATCGGACGCCCTTAGTGAGAAAGACAAAGTGAAGTTCACTGTGCACACAACGACGACGTTACCCGAATTCCAGAAACCAGACAACTTAGTCGTCAGGCAGCACGAGGAGTTCGTCTGGCTGCACGATCGATTCGAAGAGAACGAAGAATATGCTGGCTACATCGTACGTTCTTCAACTGTCTAAAGTACATCGTTACAACATTCTAAAATAATACAATCGTGTTTAGATTCCTCCTTGTCCGCCGCGGCCGGACTTCGATGCCTCCCGGGAGAAGTTACAGAAACTCGGCGAGGGCGAGGGTAACATGACACGTGAAGAGTTCAATAAGATGAAACAGGAACTGGAGGCGTGAGTTACAGAACGTTTTTATTACACATATCTTCGTGTATCAATGTAACGATCACCTCTTTTCTTTCCAGTGAATATTTAGCGACGTTTAAGAAAACTGTTGCCATGCACGAAATGTTTTTAACTAGATTAGCGAATCATCCGGTTTTTCGTAACGATCATAATTTAAGAGTGTTTCTGGAATACGATCAGGACCTCCGCGTGAGAGGTAAGACTCCTCATCTTATCAGAATTACAAGTAATAATATGAAAAGAGTATCAAAAAGTAATTTCGTATATTCGTTGCTGGTTCTTTTCAGGGAAAAATAAAATGGAGATGTTCGGTGGTTTGGTAAAATCGTTTTCCACAACCACAGACGAATATTACCTGTCGGCGACTGTGAAGGACGTGAACGACTTCTTCGATCAGGAGATGTCATTTTTACAAAGTTATCATCATAACTTGAAAGAGGCGACGGCCCGTGCCGATCGACAAACGGCTAAACACAAGGACGTGGCGGACTCGTATATCAAAATCTCTACGAATCTCTTGCAACTGGCTACGACTGATAACGGGAAACTGGAACGTTTTTTAACAAAGATCGCCGAGATGTTCGAGAAGTTAAGGGTAAGCCGTTTGACTAGCTGACTCCTGTTCCTATTATTTATACACTCGTGTCATAATTAACAGAAAGTCGAGGGGAGAGTAGCGTCTGACGAGGATTTAAAATTATCGGACACCCTTCGTTATTACATGAGGGATACAGCCGCGGCTAAGCGGCTCCTGTTCAGAAGATTGAAAGCGCTGCATGCGTACGAATCTGCGAATCGTGCTCTGGAGAAAGCTCGTGCCAAAAATAAAGATGTTCACGCTGTAAGTATAACATTGATCCCGGTTAATCTATGATTCCCGATTTTGAACGACGTTCGTAATGCATAATGAACGAGTCCTGTATATACATCTTCGTATGTATACACTCGTTTTGAATTTTGTCCCCCCCTAGGGGAAACTAATACATGCACATAGCTGTACTTGCGAGTAATACATACAGTGCTTTTAATTACAGTGCACTTTTGAAGGATGGTAGCTCGTATATGTAAACAGAGAGAAAATCTGGTACAAAGTCTCATTGTAAGACTTGTTCAGTATTAACACGTGTATACTTCAAGACTTACTGAATAAAAGTTATAAACTTATAAAATCGATTTGTAAATTATACCCAGTGAAATTGAACGATACACGTAACCGCGAATCGAACAAATGATTGTGTATATATAATGTGTAAGCTGCATTAGATGCTCTTTCTAATACGAATTAAGAACAAGATAGGATAAAGGAATACTAATGAGGGAATTCTAGTATATTTTTAATATAAAAGACATATTCAATAATATATTTAGATTCTACTAAGCAAGTTTGTCAATTCAAAATGATTTGAGAAGATGCACATATGATCAATAAGTCATGAAAATATTTTTTATATTAAAATGCATCTCCCCTTTTCAATTTTCTGCCTCATAGCTGATTCGAATAAGTCATACGTCGAGTGCACCGCATTTAAATACCCTGCCGATTAATTAAATGTAGCGTAAACGCGGTTTACCAATGAGAAACTTAATTTCAGCTGGTGATTATTTGGGGGAGATACAAGCGACACGTACTTGAGATAAGAAGAGCGTACAATTGTTTGGACGTACAGAAACAGTTTCTAAACTGTATACAGTTTAGATCTTCATCTGTGTAATTGTTATAATTGCGCGCTATAAATTCTAGCTATAAAACATAGGACGTGTCAGTGATAGGGACGCCTGGACGCCATGATGGTAGGTGGAACCTGTTATCACTTGGCCGCCGATTTGCTTTCTCAACGAATTTGATACACCGCGCAGACTTTCGTTTGGAACGCTGTAAATATCCTTTATACACGGCTGTTAATTAAGTAAAATGTTTCAGGACGGCATATGCGATACTGCCGACATATTAAATAACGTTCCTCCTAAGAAGGTACTTCCATTAATCCTCTGTTTTCTCTTACAGCAGCTCGTTGAAAACCTGCGATTTTTCATTACAGACGATTCACGCTGACAATGTAGACCTCTCGGACAAGTCGTTACAGGTGGATATATCGGACGCCCTTAGTGAGAAAGACAAAGTGAAGTTCACTGTGCACACAACGACGACGTTACCCGAATTCCAGAAACCAGACAACTTAGTCGTCAGGCAGCACGAGGAGTTCGTCTGGCTGCACGATCGATTCGAAGAGAACGAAGAATATGCTGGCTACATCGTACGTTCTTCAACTGTCTAAAGTACATCGTTACAACATTCTAAAATAATACAATCGTGTTTAGATTCCTCCTTGTCCGCCGCGGCCGGACTTCGATGCCTCCCGGGAGAAGTTACAGAAACTCGGCGAGGGCGAGGGTAACATGACACGTGAAGAGTTCAATAAGATGAAACAGGAACTGGAGGCGTGAGTTACAGAACGTTTTTATTACACATATCTTCGTGTATCAATGTAACGATCACCTCTTTTCTTTCCAGTGAATATTTAGCGACGTTTAAGAAAACTGTTGCCATGCACGAAATGTTTTTAACTAGATTAGCGAATCATCCGGTTTTTCGTAACGATCATAATTTAAGAGTGTTTCTGGAATACGATCAGGACCTCCGCGTGAGAGGTAAGACTCCTCATCTTATCAGAATTACAAGTAATAATATGAAAAGAGTATCAAAAAGTAATTTCGTATATTCGTTGCTGGTTCTTTTCAGGGAAAAATAAAATGGAGATGTTCGGTGGTTTGGTAAAATCGTTTTCCACAACCACAGACGAATATTACCTGTCGGCGACTGTGAAGGACGTGAACGACTTCTTCGATCAGGAGATGTCATTTTTACAAAGTTATCATCATAACTTGAAAGAGGCGACGGCCCGTGCCGATCGACAAACGGCTAAACACAAGGACGTGGCGGACTCGTATATCAAAATCTCTACGAATCTCTTGCAACTGGCTACGACTGATAACGGGAAACTGGAACGTTTTTTAACAAAGATCGCCGAGATGTTCGAGAAGTTAAGGGTAAGCCGTTTGACTAGCTGACTCCTGTTCCTATTATTTATACACTCGTGTCATAATTAACAGAAAGTCGAGGGGAGAGTAGCGTCTGACGAGGATTTAAAATTATCGGACACCCTTCGTTATTACATGAGGGATACAGCCGCGGCTAAGCGGCTCCTGTTCAGAAGATTGAAAGCGCTGCATGCGTACGAATCTGCGAATCGTGCTCTGGAGAAAGCTCGTGCCAAAAATAAAGATGTTCACGCTGTAAGTATAACATTGATCCCGGTTAATCTATGATTCCCGATTTTGAACGACGTTCGTAATGCATAATGAACGAGTCCTGTATATACATCTTCGTATGTATGTACTTGTATGCCACGCGACGTCGAGCTGGTGTCTAATTACGAATTTAATTTTTTTTTGCTCATCAAGGCAGTGGAAGTTGCTGAGGTGTGTTTCCCTACATTTGTATGTTTGATGCCTTGCCGTAGTAATAATGCATAATCGTTTCTCTCGTTCTCGTTACTCTGTTTCACGATTCTCATGAATTGCATAGCAATTGAACTTGTGAATCCTATAAGCATGTTGTCGGTGGAAGGACAGAAATTGAATTATTATTGTTCAAGTGAACGTGCATGGAATAAGTGTGCATGGGACGAGTGGCGTGGATTTATAGGTAAGATGATGTTCAATTTTTTGTTGATTCAGGCGGAGCAAGCTCAGACCGAAGCCTGTGAGAAGTTCGAACAGATGTCAGAGAAAGGAAAAGAGGGTAAGTAGAAAGAATGACGAAATTGTTAATTCAAACATCGAATGGTAGGTAACGATTGAATTTTAATGCGGAAATTAAAAAGTCTCCGACCCTGCTTAGTGTTACGTTTATTTCACGAACGAAATTATACTCCAACATCTGTTATAGAATTAATGGACTTCAAAACGAGGAGAGTAGGCGCTTTCAGGAAGAATCTAGTTGAACTCGCCGAACTCGAAATAAAACACGCTAAAGTAAGCACAAGCTTTTTTATTATTTTCTTCTCTGGTGTTCGTTCGTCGTTTCAGGAAAGCTGAATTCTGTTCGCAGGCACACGCGGAATTGCTCAAGAAATGCTTAACGATCTTACGAGAAGAGTGATCCAGTTTTCTAATTCCCATTCTAAGGATTACTATGTAATCCATACGAAGATAACAATCTATTTAAAATCATAGTAATGTAATGGCACTGCAAAATATATATTTTTTGTTATCTAGATTTATATTATATCCGAAAGAAAAGAATAGTATTACTAACTGCAAAAGGACTCCGTATTAAAATACGATTCTTGTTGTTTAATATATTTGCAAGGCATCAAAGTTTATATATATATACGTGTAAACATTGCAATTGTTTATGAGAGCAGACAATTCGTTTTCTTTTGTATAATTCTTTAACGAATCGTTTCGTTTGGTACAATAAAGATATTGTTTTTTCTTTTCTTTTTTTTACTTTTTATAGATTCTATCTGATATAAATTTTTTTACAAGATTCTTTCCATTCTATATATAAATATATACATCGTAAGTACTATGTATAAGATGTTTTGTATCGTATGCCACTTTCAGGAAATAAGTAATTCGTAATGTGAACAGAATAATTATTAAGAGCTAGGTGTATATTTTTGAAAAGGAGGTACGGTTGTAAGAAATCGGAGATTTTATAAAATTAATCGATGAAAGTAATAAAATGTGAAAACCAGGGAGAGTACCGAGGATAATAAACTTCGATTATTTAATTCACTTGGCAGTTTCGTGATGTATATTTCAGTAAAAAGAAACGATCAGCTCACCTTTTTCCTTCCGGAGAATATTGCCAGAGTATTCTTCTTTAGGTCGAATTATTCTTTTCGCCGATACTCATTTTACGTTTTACAATAGATTTATGTATAACGTGCTTGTCTATGCCGGGTCACTAAAAAATATTGTCCACCAGATCTCAAGCGGTTCAGGCGTTCATTTCTTTCTGCTTCTTCTGTACCCTCGTCCTCTTTACGCTTCTATCTAAAATGCGACAGAGCAGACACCAAGAAGTGGATTATTTTGTATCGTGGATTTTATTAAAATTCGGTTTCAACGAATCTGCGGATAACTCCAAGTAAAATGACACAAATGTTCGTAAAAAGGCGGGCGAACATTAATCAAAATACTTAATTAAGTAGACGATGCGTACATACGAGGGTACGTCCCTCGGTCTGACGGTATGTACGTCGCGTATGTACGCACCATGCCTACGGTGGTCTTCTCGTTACGCAAACGCCTATGTAATTAAAACAATCGTTTCATAAATTCAAATCGGATCGATGGTACGTGAATCTTCTTTTTTACATAACAAACACAAGTTTACAAAATATCGTAGGTATATATGTTGTGTATGTACGTACGAGACGGGAATTGTACAGAGATTTTCTATGGCAGAATATAAGATATGACTATCGATGGACTCAGATGATCCATGCGTAAATACACGGAAAACGCGTAGAACGTGATCGAATCGTTTCCTGTAATAAAGTCTTATCGTCGCTACTGAACTTTACGCCGTTCGTTAAAACTTATTTGCTTGCTCGTTTCTCGAAGGAGATCAAGCCGTCGATCGTTCTTTCTTTCTCTCTCTCTCCCTTACTCTTTCCGCTTTTGGTATTATTATATCGTATGTTTATCCTGAACGAGATTCAGGCCGCCCGAGATCTAATCGACCCCCTCCGATTATTTTCTCTCTTTAACGCGAGTACAATACCTCTTTCTCTTGCGCTCGGTACAATCTTAGTTTCATAAATCGTGATCAGACGTTATTAAGTATATAGTTACCATCGAGCGACTGGCTGTTTAAAGTCTCTTTTTAACGTCGCGTGACGAGAACGTTGCATGCCAGCCGGGTTTTTAAATAACAGAACGAGAAGAGGAGAAAAAAGTATTTTCATAAATGAATTTGTAAGGGTGCGAGTTAATGATCGAATTTATGGTTTCGGTGGTCTTCGCTCCTTTTATTTCGCTTCATTTTATTACTGTTCCACCCACCCTGCGCGACGGGGGGGGCCCCGGAGTGTTCAATCGATAGAACGGGTGTCACGCAATAAGCGCGCGATCCTACTGTTCGCACGGAATCGTTATCTTTGCAATAAGAAACTTAGTTATACACAGAGTCTCTAGCTAGTACTCGGATTTATTTTGAACCAGCTGTAAAATCGAAATCCGCGAGACGCTCAGCTCCCGGACGTCTCGCTGCGTCAAACAATATATAATATATGGCAGTTTCTCACTTATCTCGGCTATCATCAAACCGTCGTCGTGTTACACACATACATCTTTAGATAAGTACATAATATAATACTCGTCGTTTTGATCCCTGTTCTAACTTTTCGTCCGCATTTACGTTCCTCGTCGACTAACACAATATACGCCCTACTCCCTTCCGTTTATTAAATTCAGAAACAAATTAATCTCCCGTATTCGCTCTTCAGATTTTATTAATTCACGATATGTATCATAACGTCGTTCTGCGCGGGTGAGAACTAATTGTCAAATGCAGACGAAACGTTGGTAAATGTATATAACAGCTCCTGCGGGGGAGAAAGTAAATTGGCATATAAAACCATTCGACGGTGCGCAAGTGTTTTCTTAATTATCTCTCAAGTAAACTTCTTTCAGGAATAAAATCATTTCCAGCATCTTCTAATCTTCGTACCGTGAAATTAATAATAATAATTACATACGCATACATATTTGTAAGGAGAAGCGTATGGGAATGTCGACCCTGTGCACTCAGGGAAATTATAAAAGGTAGATCGAATTGATGAAAGGTAGAATGGAACTACAGTAGCCTCCAGATTTCATAATTCCAATTAATAATAGACGGAGAAGAGAAATAAATATAAATAAAACGTGGAACACTTTGAAGAATTGATGGGGATGGTCAATGTATCCGGAGACTGCTATGAGTGGGTCGCTGAAGTATTGTAAATTGAAAATGACACTTGGTAACACCGACGATCAAACTCGTACAGAAGCTTCTCCTGTTGATGTCTTATTAATGTCGTATTGTTTGAACGAAGATCGGCGTGGGAGTCAATCATAATGTTTCAAAGGGAACGCGACTGACTGAGGATGAATCGATGCGACGTACAGTTTGTATTGCTTCCCTAAAGAATTCGATTGCAACGTCGACTCGTTGATAAACGGTTCCTACCGAGAAACGATGTGCCGCCGGTCTAAACGATTTTCCACCTTAAAATTAATCCTAACAAGTAATCGTAAAAAGGTTTACACCGCTATATAAAAATTGACACGATCACAGTTTTCGTTTCTCATCCACGTTACTTTAATAATAATGAAACGTCGGAAACAAGTTTACGATCAACTTATTAATAGAATGTACTACGAACGTCAACGATAAGATTTTATTTATTAACGTATTTTACTCTTTTATTGAAATATATCTAGTCCTTAGAGGACTCAACTTAACTGTATTAAGTGTTTCATTTTATCGGGCACGTTTCGCGTGACTGTCGCCTCGCTTCGAATAATTCTGCAGGATTCGCACTGTCCCTGACAGGACGGAGAGTACGAGTCCAGCCTTACACTCGAAATGCGTCATGACGAGTGGAGTTGGTTTAAAATTGCACGGTTACTCCTGTCGAAGGACGCAGCCAGAAATCGATGGATGAAGGAGATCGGGAAGACACGGGAGAAAGAGAGAGAAATCGTGATTTACTTTTATAATTTCGATCGCACGTTAACGACGTGGACGCAGGGCGATCTACCATGAAAATCTCGTATGTCGAAATGATTCAGCCGGCGGCAATCTCGGCGATGAAACGGAAATAAAGAATGTAACGAGGGAAACACGGTGAGACGTAACCGTCGAGCGAACGTGAAGTAATTACAGCTGGGGAAAGTAAAGGGGAAGGAAAATCTAACGTATACGGAGATGATCGTTGAGATTCAAGTAAAGGAGACGAACGAGGGAGGAGGATGGAGGTAAAGAAAAAAAAGTGATTGCACAGGCGATAATCGTTTCTAGCGTCGAAGGGAAAGAAGGACAGCGAATAGTGGGTCGAAATCGCAGAATAGTAGTCTATCTATCACAAACGGAAGTAACGGTATAATAATTATGGACATATCGAAGAGAAATGCTTATCGCGTTAAAACGATCACTATCGCAGTGGTGATAATTAGTACTAGCAATTCACAGAAATTCTTCTCTGCGGCCGACGTCTTACGGCGTTGTATGGCTGCCATTTTATCACCTGAAACAATCAACGCAATGCAATTATCAACAATTTTATTTTATTTTCGTGATTATTAAATATTACGATTTCTTTTTAAAAAATGCGTTTCTAAAGTGCATAAACTTCTGGGATTGACTGTATAGCCAATACATCCTTAAATTCGTTTTCGTTAAAAGTTAATTTATAACAAGATTCCACATGTTCTACCTTCTGTGACAAAGACATAGATCGATGCTGGCTTGGTATTCGAGGCGCTGCACGTATAATTGCCTGTGTCCGATTCCACCGCTTGGTGAATCGTCAAACGGCTCTGAGTCGAGCTGGGATCGGTTTGCACGGTTACGCTGCCCCGCGTCGTATCGTAATTTATCATTCGATTATTGTGAAACCAGAAAACATATTGCGGCGGTGTTGGACTCTGAAACGAGCACGAATATTATTATTTTAGAATAATCGTCCGGCGATTTTTCACCAGGCGTTCGAACTTTTAATCTTCATAATTCCACGTCCACGCGTGAATCTCGAAGGATCTTATAAATTCTGCTTTTCCGGTTTGCCATCGTTTTTCACCGCGTCTTGAAACACCGATATCGATTTTCGATACGGCGACTGACAAAATCTCGTCGCCACCCTCGCGTAATTATTAAGTCTAGCCGGGATAATTACTGAAACGAGCTGTGGGTGCCAATACGACGGCAGCTGTGACATTATTTCCCGAGTGGACCCTCCCCCGATCCGCGGACGTTCCCCCCCACGAAACGGGAAAAGAAACGCGCATCCTCTGCATCTGCGCGACACATTTTCGACTCGTGTCCGGGATCTGAATCGAAGGGCATTCTCCGCTCGCGCGGAAAGTATGCAAAGTGGAATAGAACGTCGATGTCAGCCGAACTACGACAACGTATAATAGACGTCTCTTCCATTCCCCTTGAAACGAGACAAAATCATTTCGTCACGCTTTGTAATGCATCTTCGTGTTCACAGATTATATGAAAGATTGACACACGAAACGAGGAGAAGGAGGAGGAGGAGTTCTAGAATCTGGCTCATGTGCCTAAGATCGTCTTAACGCGATATGTAACGTAATTATGAATACCGCGTCTCCTTACAAGGTGCTTAACCCCGGAAGCCATAGCGGTTTCCGGTTAATACCATCAGAATTTCTTAAATGCATTTTCCCGGAGATCTAGACTATCAGGGATCAATGCACCTTTCACGTTGGAAACATTCAAGACGCGTTCTCCTTTCTATCCATGACCGCGCGTTGTACGCGTGCAACCACGCCGAGCGGATAGAAGCAAAGAACAGGAGGAGAAGAGGGGAAAAAAAAGCGGCGCACTTTATTTTCGTTTTCCCGATAGTGTCGAGTTTGCAGCGGCGGTCGGCAATGCCGCTTTAATGCACTTCCACTCTTGTATTCGTGACTAAGCTGCGCCTATTTCGCTGCAGGTTTTTCCGCGCCGCGGAAGGCACGCCGTGGCGTACCGTACGTACCTATGCACGTACAACGAACGTTCCCCGCGAACCTGCAAGCTGTGCGTTTCTATGTACCCTCGTTAAGCGGATGGACAGCGGCAACCGCGTACCTTTATTCGCGTTTCGTGACGCGTACGAGCGACGAATATTTTCCCGTATCAATGGGGGAGCGACATAGAAAATGTTAGCGTCTACCCTTCCTTTCTTTTTTTTTCTTTCTTTTTTTTTATCGTCGTATAACGGGCCGCGATTTATAGCGACGACGTTAGAATAGCGTCTGCGTCTACGTATACACGCGGTACGTGAAAGTTTTGATAGGATCGCATCAATCATTTCGAGATATACGAGAATTAGAGGATTTTCTTACCTTTTCTATTATGCATACGAGATTTATAATGGATCCTACGTCGACGTGATGCTCGCCGCTCCCTAATATAAATGCTTCTGGTATAACTATGTTTAGATTGACAAAGTGTGATAATATCCCTGTACTCCTCGAGACCTGAAACCGATAACACACAAACGTGCGTTATTTTATCATCTAGCTTTGAAAGTGAAAGAAATTCGCATCGTTCGAACAACTGAGCTGCTCGAACCCCGTAGTAGTACTACTATACGGGACGACGTTTTAGGCAGGACAAATTTGCTCAAACGCCCTGTTTATTTGCACCGTTGAATTTCGCCGCCCCGACCTCATTAAAACCGATTCATTTGAAGAGCCACACCGGAGACGGTGCGCTGCGCTGCAATAACTCTCCGCAACGTTATTCGCAGGATGCAATTGGAATTACGGAGGCGCGTGCATCAGTGGTGGTGCTGGTGCGAGCCGTCCGTTTGAGACGATTAAACCCGTTATTACCTGACACTCGTAGGTCCCATTGTCTCTGTCCTGAACGTACTTGATCTGAAGGGTCCAGTCGTCCGAGCCCTCCGGGTGTAGAACTTGAAACCGAGCGTCATTCGTGTACGTGAACGTGGAACTGGTGAGGACGTGGAAGTCACGTCGCCGTATCCAGGATATCTGCGGAACAGGTGCACGTCGATCAGTTTTCTTGCCGCGGGTCAGACGCAGCCGCGGCCGCTCGGTGATAAAGCACAGAGCTCTCTAACGACCACCATAGCCGGCCGGGGGAATCACTCACCTCCGTGTCGGACACCGTCCTGTCCGCTTGGTTACGAACTTTGCAATGCAAAAACGCGGTCCCGCCCAGCTGCACCGTCACGTTCGAGACGGTGTTGTTATCGTTCGCGTCGTTCACTCTCTGCAGCTCGTCCATGTTGCTGAACCATAACGTCTTCCAGTTCGAGGGTATCACGTAAGGGACGCGCCGGTCTGGAACATATTCTAACATCAGAGCATTCAGTATAGTTCCATTTAAAATTTCTTAAACAATATTTAGTTATCAATTTAAAAGGTATACGTTCAGAAAAACGAGGTTTAGGTATGAACTCGATATTTTCATATTCAAGCACAGATTTCACCCTCTTTAGTCGTCTCGCAAATCTTTCGCATATCCGATAAGCTAACTGTACATTTCTAAGGCCGGGCACAAACGCCCAGGTAAACCCAAGAGGTACGCTAGCATAAACGTGCCCGTACGAGCTTACGCGTATGATAGAAGCGACCGGCGAGAAATCATTTAGCCATAACTGGAAGAACGTGCAAAGCTACGACAGCATTTCTAATTCTACGCGTGGCACAGGTTCGCCTGAACGTCTACAAGTCGGCTATTAGAAATCATATAGACTTCTATGATGGGTTTCAAACGATTATTGAGCTTCGGGGAAGGAGAGATTTGGCGAGGGTTCTGTAAATGATATATCATACCCCGACGGATAGGGGAATGGAATTGAGGGGCGAAGCGAAATGGTGTTTGAAATCAGAATTCTCCCGTCCCTCGAACTAACATTAAATCGTTGAATACACGTTATCGTATTGGATTTATTTTGAAGATACGCTCAGATATATTAACATACACACATATTAATATTTGAGTCTGATATTTGTATTACATTTAATATTAGTCGTTGTTGATTTGTTAAATACATCACTGCAAACAGGATATCGACTAATTTGATTATAACCGAGTACTAGTGTTACGTTCAATATACTGCACGTTGTTGATTTATCGAATAAATTTATGTGAACAATTACTTCTAAAACCGCGATTCGCATCCATTATCTTAACGTTAAACAAGCCGAGTATTAAAAGTAGGGAATTTTAATCGGGACGGGAGAAAAAGAAGAAGAAGAAGAAGAAGAAGAAGAAGAAGAAGAAGTTCGGGTAAGACAAGCGCAGGTTAATTCGAAAGTAACCGTAGTGCTTCGGTAAAGGGAATATAGCCAAGGAGAACCGGGGACGGGAGCACGGGGGTTGATGGACATAGAAATCCGTAAATGGAAAGAGAGAAAATTGGGGAACGAAGGCGGAACCAGCGAGTTGGTGGAGGGAAGACGCTGGAAGGGTCTAGGCAAAAGACAAGCACTTGAGACTGAACTTTGCGAGCTTTTGAATGCAGGGCATAAGCTACCTGTCTTTTGTTTCCGCGAGACAATGCGAAACCTTATACAACGAGACAAGAAGCCGGGGTCTACGATGGAAAGGTGCTCCTACTTTGCCTTCGACCAGTCAGTCGGACAGGGGTTACTGTTCCTCCTTTCTCTCTTTTTTTTTTCTTTCTTTAAGTATTCCCGATTCACAACCACTTTCGAGTGTAGAACAAGTGCGTACTAGAGAAGATATTTCGCGAGGTTACCCCGCTTCTTCTTCTACCTCTGGCATTTTTTTCTCCTCACTATTTTCGTTCCTGCCTGGTTCCTCGTAGCAACCCTTTCCGTCTCTATCCTCTTTCCCTCGTCCGGAGGATTTCCGTCTATCCTCCGGTCGGGGAACGGCATTTATTTATTGCACGCCGAGCCAAAGGCTTTATCTAATGCATACTTAATAGCATTAAATCTGCCCGACGTATACTCGACTTCTTGCACCGGGTGGATCCTCGAATATATGCGGCTCCGCTCGTACCGCATGCACTTGACTCCGCGTCTCGCGAACCAAAGACGAAACGTTGATTCTGAGGTCTCAACCGACGTACCCTTCCCCTCGACTAAGCACTTTGTTCAACGATAGCAGAATTATACTAATTATTTTACTATTATTTTCTCTGTTTACTTCACGGGTTAACCCTTTGCACTCGAGGTCTTTTGCGCTCGGGCGAACCAGCAACTCGAGACGATTTCGG